ATATTAATGTCTAGGAACATATACACAAGTCAAAAAAATTTCATAGAGAAAGTGTTATGAAGATTTGTTAATAGGTGTTGAAGATTATGTGAGTTATTTCATGTCAATAAGATATCATTGAAATATAGAAGAAGATAAATGCAAGTTTTTTTATTTTGTCTATGCGAAGAGAAGAATCGACTTGTCTACGAGTAAAGCTAAATTTGAAAAGATGATTAATAAAAGTGTTATACCATTGTCTTGGAGCTTATTTAAGGCAGTGAATAGTTTTTTGTTTTTCAGTAAACAGACATGATTGGGATGATTAGGGTCAATGAAACCCAGAGGAAGACTTGTATACACAACTCCTTGAAGTTGGCCATGTTGAAAGCATTGAAGACATCAATTTGAGGAACTAACTACTTTTGATGAAGAACAACATTTAATATAATTTTTATTATAGGAAGTTTAGCCATAGGATTGAAGGTTTCAGTGTAGTTAAGACCAAACTCTTGTTGATAACATTAAGCCACAAGTATGGCTTTATACCCAACCATAAACCCATGTTGATGCCTTTTAATTTTGTATGTTCATTACTACCCAATATGGACAAATTCTTAGGAAGAGGAGTTAAGGTACAAGTGTGCTGAGAGAGGAGAGCCTGAAATTTAGAATTTATAACTTCCTACGATTGTGAATGATTTACAACTTGTTTAAAATTGGAAGGTTCTAATTCAGGTTGTTGTAAGTGACGTAAATTAAACAATCTTTTGCATATAAAGATCCAATTTTAGATCTTGTGAGCATGGGATGGGGCGAATTTGAAGTGAGAGTAGAGTTTTAAGCACTTACGGGCAGCTCCAACGTAGGATCAAATGAGTTGAGGTGAGCTGCAGTGCAAATAGGTTGGTTTGGAAGATGAGATGAAGGTTGACAGTTGATAAGAGTGTGTGGCTGATTGATGATAGAATGGGAACATTTCTTGCTTGTAATTGTGTTTGGCATAAGGAGAAGGGGTGTGTTGGTAGTATTCGGTGGGAATGAAAGGAAGGTAAATGAAGATTGCTTGTACAGGAAGGCACTTTCATTAAAAATAACATGTCTGAATCTTATTATTTGGCCAATATTAGGATTAAAGCATTTTTAGCTTTTGGTGTTTGTGGGAAGCCCTGAAACACAAAAGAAATATACCTTAGTTGAAGTTTATTACTTTGAGAAGGAGGTATCAAATGAAAACATTCACAACGAAAAAATTGAGGTGATTCTTAAAGGGTCATTTATCATATAAGAGTTGATAGGGAGATTGAGAAAATGTGGTTCGTTATGGTAACCAATTAATAATATAGATAACAATGTTCATAATTTTTAGCCATAATGAGGAAGGAAAGTGTGAGTCAACTAATGGTGCTCTTGTGGTTTCTAAAATATGATAATGCTTTCTTTCAGAAATTCGTGATGTTTGGGAGTATAAGGGCATGTAATTTGATGAAAAATACCATGACTATTAAGAAACTTAAAAATTGAAGGTTGTTATATTCATCGCCTCCACCAATTTGTAGAATTTTGATGTGTCTATAAAGTTGTGACTCAAGTTGTTTCTTAAATTTAATAAAATGTGAAAGAACTTCAGATTTCTGATCATGGGATAAATACATTAGTACCTTGTAGCATCATCAACAAACAAAACATATTAATGATAGCCTTGAATGGAAGGAGTGGGGAAGGTCCCCAAATATCAGAATGCATGATTTCAAGAGGATTACATTTATTTGACTAGATAAAAAAAAAAAAAAAAGACAATATATGATTTTTAGCAGTAGCACAAGAAACACAGAAATCAGGTTTATCAATAATATTGATGTCAAGATAGCATTTTAAAATTACTGATATTTTTTGATATTTAGCATGACCCAACCTTTTATGACATTAACAAGAGCTTGTTGAGTCAACTTGATGGCAATAAGCTTTCATAGCATGGTCCATGTAGAAGAATATGTTGAGTTATCTTATCCTTGATTTGATAACCATTAACATTAAAAAAAAATAAAACAATTATTATCACGAGCAAGTTGAGAAATATAGATAGACCAGGTTGTAAGAGAGTTGAGGTGTATGTAAGAATTTAGAGAGGATGAGCATAGAAATTGGCATAGGAAGAATGCCTTTACCAATGTTATGAATAGAAACAACATTACCATTTCCCACAAAGAATTGATTCATCCCTTAGTATTGTTCATTCCACTGTAGATGTTGAACATCTAATGTGAGAAGAGTTGCAACTATAGTGTTGAGATACCAATCAGATGTGAAGACGAATGTTACAGGAGCTGTGTTGCTCGGTGGTTTAGTGGATAGATAATTTTGATAGAATCGATGCCCACGGTTTGCAGCTAAATGTCCTTGCTTATGATAGACTTGACAAACCACAAAATCGAAAGTCTTTACATTCTTGTCCGGAAATGAATTATGGGAAACACAGAAAGAGTTGTTGGTCTCCCAACCTCTGCCATTGTAATAGTTTTGCTTGTCTTTAACTCTTTGAGAATATAAAGCAAATTAGGGATCAGAGGATTTGATTTCGGTGGGAAGTTCTGTAGAAAGGTTGATTTCTTTGTTATAGAGTAATGAGCTAAGTTTTGATTGTCGTTTTGAATGCTTGATAAGTGGGAGGTAGGCTTTTAAGAATAAAAAAGATGATATATTCGACATCGATCGTGCCTCCCACGGTTGATATATTGTCCATGATTGTATTTATTTGAGTTAGGAACTGCGTCATGATTTGATTCCCCATTGCAACAGTGTATAACTCGCTCTTGAGTTATATAACTCTTGATTGTATGGTAGCTATCAAACGATGCTCCAAAGTACAACATATCTCAAAACAACTGTCCAGATTTAACACATGAGGAAGAGCAATGGCTGAAATGGTGCAGAAGATAGTGGCAGCCAGGTTCTGATCAACTAATGTCCTAGTATTATAGGAAAAATTGGGAACACGAGAGCCAGATTCATTGATAAAATGTTCAGGAGTGCAGGGAATCAATCCATGAATGAATCCAAGAAACCTATTGGATTTGATGATTTTATGCATTTGAGATTCCAAAGAGGACAGTTATAGATGGAGAGAGAATTAGTAACCACTAATTTGACGGTAGACATCAAGAATTTGAGGGAGGGAGGGGTTATACATTCAATAATGTTTAAAGAAGCTAGACCTTCATAATAGGTCCTGTACTCATCCATTGCAAAATTTGAGGAGCACGGTTTGGATCACCGTGAAGAGCAGTGGCAACGGAGGGCCACAGGGCGAGAGATTAGCAGTCTTGGAGAACGAGGTAGGGAGATCCATTGATCTTTGTATGCAGCACTCCCGTTGTTACTATCCATGCTAGCATTGAGACTGACTGTATCATGAGGGATTTGGGCAAGAGAAGAGTAAACTAGGGTTTCAGAGCTTGACACCTTGAAAGAAGTTAAGTTATGATTCATTCGGCATAAATAGAAAACAGAAAACCACATGTTTTTTCTCTTTATCATATACTATATTTTTGATATATAAATATTTTTGTGAGCTAAAAAATTTTATGATCTTTAGATCACTGCATTTCCTTTTGTCGAGATACATATTATAACTATTAGCATATGAAATGCAATGATTATTTGATCCTTCAAGGATTTATATGTGATCAAATAACCTTTTAATGAGAAGGCAAGGCCTTTGTGACATTAGTATAAGGGTCCGTTTGGGGCAGCTTATTCGGTGCGGTGACGTTTTGAAAACCCATCTAGACTGTTTGGGTGAAGCTTTTGGCAGCTTACGCTTTTTGAAAAAGCTGAAAAACAACATTTTCACGCCGCACCTATCTAGATGCGGTGACAGCTTTCTGACAGCAGTTTAACTTTTCATAAAAATAAAAATTTCTTATAGTCATCGCACATAGCTTATCAGCAGATTATTTTTAATCACCGCAAAATTTATTCACATTTTGATCCAAATTTTTAAAGTCTACTTGAATCACCTGATTATATAATTTTGGTAAATCAATAACTCACAACTTTAGATGATGCTATAATTCATGCAAATTCATTATAATCAAATATATTATAATGGGAAACTTACATACATTCCACATATTTCTTATGTATTTACAAATCTAACAATTAAAATTTAATATTTACATTTATAACCTTATGGTGTTATGAACCTCTGCATCACATGACACGATATTTTTACTTGAAAAATTAATAATATTGATATTTTTGTTGTGATGTTAATGGCTGCATGATATGTATGCAAATATCAAAATTTAGTTTTTTGATATTTAAATATATAAGAATTGAGTGACATAGATATATGTAAATGCCTTTATACTTATTTTTTGTGATAAATTAAATCAAACAATAATTAAATATATACAATTATGAGTGAACCATAAGTCATGTGAGGATTAATTTGGAAAATATTTTTCATATCATTTTAAAATATAAAGTAGAGATGTACACTTATTACATAATTTTTATGTATTTACATATTAACCTTTATACATCACCATCCAAAACTTTATATCAAATAAAAATATCATTATTATTACATTTTTTAATATATCTATATATAATTGATTCATTAAAATGCTATATATAGTTAAGTATATAAATAAAAAGAAATTATGTGGTATGTATGTACGTAAAAATAAATAAATGTCGGATTGCCTCTAGCCTCATACAATTCCGAAAAAATATTACATCGGGAACTCCTAATGCATTTAGAGTCTAATAGTCGGGCACCACGTGTCAAGTGGGCTTTATCATTTTTAACATCGGTAAATACCAATGTATTATGATGGGACCTACTTGACACGTGACACATCACCATTGAACTCTGAAAGCAAACCGCATTAGGAGTGCTAACATAATACTCTCTATAATTTCACCTTCTGATTATTCTAAGGGCATATTCGTCATTTCCGGGAGCAATAATAGCAAATCCGCGAATCAAAGCATCTTCCTTCCGTCCGAGCGCGCAAACGCCCACTGCTTCCATCCATAAATAACGCACCCCCCCTTCTCAAAAAACGAAACCCTAACCCTCTCTCTCCCTCTCTACCCCGTCACCTCTCCAACCATTCCATCCATGAGTGCCTTCCCCTTCCATATGGCCATCGCGGCCCTCGCCGGCGCCTCCGTCGCCGCCTTCTCCTCCTATTACTTGCACCGTCGATCCTTAGCAGAGCTCCTCGAGTTCGCTCTCGCCATCGAGCGCAGCAGGGGAGGAACCGAGGCCGATAGCTCCTCTAGCGGCGGCAGGCAAGTGAATCTGAGAAAGGAGAAACAGCGGAGGGGAGCGACGGTTAACGGACGACGGAGACGGAAGTTGGCCGGCAGGAAGTGTTCGATGGCGGAGTTGGGGGATGGGTTGGTTGACGAGAATGATGGAGAGATGGTGAGGAAGGAAAAAGGTTTGTCGCGGATTGAGAGGTTGCCTGGAGGTACTTACGAATCTGCGCATGTTTTGTCTGATTTCTCTCCTGATTGACTCGATTGAGAGCGTGATCGGGACTCCTCATTATTTTTCTCTGTCGTTGATGCTATATATATATATATATATTGACAATTATTCTTAACTATAGTTTTTGTTGATCTTTTCTTCTTATGTATTGATAAATATCTAAATTAGCATATTAGTCAATGCTAGTAAAACTCGGTACAATTTTAGCCTTTCTGGCTGACAGATTTCATTAGAGAATGGCTTTTGCTTGCCAGATGAAAGCTATCTTGGTGTAATTTTATTGAAATTTTTTGGATGTATTTCAAGCACCATCGATTTGAAATAGGTGTCTTGAAGAATTGGCGGGGCTTAAAGAACGTCTTATTTACATTGATTTTTCTCAAAATGATGTTTGAAAAAACATATAATTTTAACGTTTAAGTTCTAATCAATAATAAATATGTTGAATCATTAAATACTAATTAATGAGATCATGCATATAAAGAAATTATTAAATTCACACGAATCGGACAATTTTTTTGCAATCATCCAAGAAAAAAGGAAAGAGATCTTAGGCGTCGTTTTAGAAGTTGTGATATTCGAACCAGAATTTCTGTAGACGCTTCTCCCCTTCTTTCACCAAATATAAATTTCTTTATGCCTCTGCATTCACGTCAACTCAAAAGAAGTCTTAGGAGGGGGGTTTTTGGCTGCGATTTGATTTTAACTTAAATAGGATTTATCGAATTCTATTAAATCCGAATTTATCAAACAGGACAGATCTCGCTAGTGATGACGAGCGGCTCACCGAAATACAGTTTTGTCCTGATGTACGATAGAGATCAGCATCCATCTCTGCATGTGCTGTCCGTATGAAATATTTTTTCAATTAAAAAATTATTTTATCACACGCAGAAATGCATGCACCGTCAGATTTCCACCTTCGATTAGCCCTTTTTTTAATTAAAAAAAATAAGGCCCACCGAAATACAGTTTTGCTGCCCCGATCGAAGATAGAAATCGGCGACGCATGCATTTCTGCATGGGCTGTCCGTATGGAATAAATTTTCCCAAATTTTGGTCGTAGATGAGTTTAATAATTCGTTGACAGGATTTAATTTAAATTCATGATTAAATTTCATAAATAATATGCCGCAGCCAATTTAAATTCATCAATGGAAAATAACTCAAAGCCAATAAACCGAGAGGTTTAAATTTAAATTAAAGAGGAAAATCTATTACAGAAAATTTGAATAATATATATTTTTTAGGAGTATGGTATTGCATATTTTTGCTTGTTTCTAGTGTTCTAAGTTTTAACCTTAATATTCCTTGGAAATATCTTCATCTTTCCCACAAACAAAGATTCCATAGAAATACATTGGCCAACAACGCACAAAATCTCACCATAATCAGGTGCGGAATCAGCCTCTTTTTTGAGAGGGACAAATTGTGCCCCTAGACCCAACGTGGAAGGGCTTAAGGCAAAGGGCAAAACGATATTTTAGGAGGCGCAAAAGATTCAATTTACCTCTGATATAAATAAAAATCTCAAATTTAAGGGGGTAATATCTCCCTGAATCGTATGTGGGTCCGCCCCCGATCATAATATGCACGCAAAATGAAAATTTATGCTTTAACTAGTATCTCATGTAGCTAACTCAAAGTGTATTCGATCTTATTAATAATAACTTGAAAAGAAGGGGCTTTTACATACTGACCAACATGTTCTTATGTATTAACATTTCAACAGCAAAAACTTCAATTTTTACTGACCACCTCGTTCCTACAGTTTCAGCATACATTGGGAGGCTTGTAGGTAAAAATTAAAGTTAAGTGGTTGATATCATAGTATTAAAAACAGGACCAAAACTTTTAAGTTCTACAAGTTCAATTGTGAACCGATCATTTTGTCAGTTCTGTTCAAGCTTAGAACTATTTCTACCTAAAATCGTGATTAAATCTATTATAATCAGAGTTAAACAGGTTTGGTTTCTAAAGAACCAATTAAATTAATCCACTTTCAGCGGTTTCACTTTGATCGGATGACCAAAAATAAAATATTTAATTTAAAAATAGAGAAAATATTATGTATTAATTTTTTTATTTAGAATATTATTCAAATTATTCAAAAGTATTATCTTAAATTAAAATATTATTTGTCTAAATCATGAAAATGATGTTAGTGCATCATTATTCTATCATTTAAATCATATTAAAATAAACGGAACTTTTATTATGTCATCAGGATTATGTATATTTTTATTGCATAATCATGGCTCAAAACATTAAATATAATATTTTAAAAATCCAAATTTTAAATATATCATTTTAATCACCAGAAAGTTTAAATTTAAATTTTAATCACCCCAAATTTTCACTCAAAACCTTCATTAGTGGGTAAAAATAATTTAAATATTTGACATTTTATTTTTTTTTATTTTTGAATTAATATTCTGATATAAAAATATATTTAAATTTAATTTTATTTCAAATTATTCTAACAATCTCATTTATTATTATGTAGGGACACACTGCAAGCATGGACACTGGATGGGGAGGTCAAGTCATATGCACATGAATTTGTGGTGACATGTTCTTTTCGTCCATCATTGTTCATGATACAAATGTACATGTTAATTTTTCTATTTTTTTGGGTACCTACTAAGTATTAAATTTTTTGAAAGTTGTTCCCACTACATTTGTTCAAATTTTACTATCTCACATATTTAATAATAGGGCTGTCAAAAAAGCTCATTCTTGACGAAAAGCTCGTGTTCGGCTTGTTCGTTAAGTAAACGAGCCGAACACGAACAAGTTTTTAAAGCTCGAATTATAAACGAGCCGAACAAGAACAGTTCTTTGTTCGCTCGTATTCGGCTTGTTTTAACTCGAAATAAAAAATTATATAACTATTTATATAATAATATATTACATATATTATTTATATAATAATATATTATACGTACTTTTATCTAAATTTTAAACATAACATTTTATGTGGCAATGCGGTCAGTCTTTTATTTTGTATACGTTAGGTCTAGGTTCGAATCCCACACATTACATTTATTTTTTTCAATTTAATTTTAACGAGCCACTTTCGAGCCGAACACGAACACGAATATTTAAATCGAGCCGAACATGAACATACTGTTCACGAGCCGATTTCGAGCACGAGCTATTTTGAATGAGTCGAGCACGAGCCAAGCCTGAGCCCGCTCAAGTTCGGCTCGTTCACAGCCCTATTAATAATAAATTCTCAGCTTGTAGATTTTTGTACGGGCTAAAAAATAAATAAAAATATATTAAATAAATAAATTTTTACTAAAGTTTGTAGAGTATAAATAAATTCATATTAATTTTTAATTGCATCCAAATAAATGTCAGAAAACCGGAGTAATATTTGGATATGTTTTGTTTCTATTTAATTTTTAGTTTTTAAGATCGTCTTTTTTTACAAATTTACAAAAACGAAAACATGATTTGAATGATTTCAGACATTATCTTTTTATTTATTTATTTTTTTAATAAAGAGTGGAAATTAATCATTCAATTATTATTTTTTTATATAAATGATTTGAATGATTTTAGACATTATAAATATTTAATAACTTTTGATTAGTGAAAACGTATTAAAATAGATATTATGAATACTTATAAACTTAATTAAAATTATTTATAATTTTCAATTTGACATAATGAGTAGTAACTATATTTAATATGATACTTTATTATATGACTTATTTACACGATTTTGAATTGCCACAACTAAATTCTAATAAAATATAATGAGTGCCATTTATTTAATTAAACGTTTATTAGTTTAAATTAAATGTTATTTATCAATTACTTTGACTTTTTATTAATTTAAAATTAATTATAATACACTTATCATTACTAAATTTTAATAAAATAATAACATTTTATATGTTTTTATGTTGGATAATAAAACTGCCATGTTTGAATATTTGCTAAGATTAAATACACCCCCCACACAAACAACTTACTCAAAAAACAATTAAAAACCCTAGAACCATTAGCCACGAGTACAACTCACACAAGAAAACACATTAGAAAAAACATCAGTATGAATATAAGAAATATTTAAATAATCCCATTTAATCAACCAAAAAAGCTCCAATGGAACCGTAATAGAAAAATTAAACTCCTGAGAATCCAAACCTCTTTTCGCAACCCAATTAGCACACTGGTTACCTTCGTGATGAATAAACATCCACTGTACTTGCACATACTTAGGTAAAATAATTTTTTTTTCATATGAATAATAAAAAACCAAGGATACTCCTTTTTACTGTAGTAATTCCACAACTCCAGAGAATCCATTTCAATCTCAATATTATTCCAATCGCATCTAACAACCAACCACAGAGTCATGATTACCGCCTCTGCTTCAATACAGATAGGAGAAACAACATAAACCGATGCAAAAAGTCACAGTGAGCATACACTCATGGAGTTTCGACAAAGTCCACCAACAAGCAAACAAACTATTCCAACTACCATCCATATTGAATTTCAAAACACCTCTCTTAGGTTTTTTCCACATAACCAAATTAGTCACATGTTTGCAATTCATAGGAATCAAAATATTAAAAACCTTAAGTAGGTCCAGTTCTACGGGTTTCTTAAACCTGTCATATCTAAGCATTTCGAAAATGAAATTTCTAATGTAAGTAAAACAAGAGAGCTTAGAAATCAGATTACCCTTATGCTTAGCCTCATTTCTAGCAACCAAAAGATCACAATAGGAATAAAAGCAAAAAAAACAAACCGTCCCCATAATTTCTCTAACAATTAAAGATAACCAACAATGAAATTTGTAATAACATCATTCATCATTTTATCACAAAGAATAAAAACCTTTGACCAAATATCTTTAGCAAACAAACAATTAATAAAAATATGCTCTGCATTATCATCATTTTGATTGGAAAGAAAACATCTAGAGAAAAGCCTCAAACCTTTCATCTTAAGAATATCCCCCGTGAGAATAATATGATGAAAAAGCCTCCAAAAGAACAAGGATTGAGAAGGCTTAACAAAATAATTCCAAGCCCAATTTAAATCCATACAATTAAAAAAAGCCAAGACTTAGCAAACTTTTTTGAAATAAAACTGCCACCTTGACCTTTAATTTTTTTTTTATCATTACTAGCTGAACAATCAGGTTAGCATCTACCTTACTAACCAGATTACACAACTCATGTAAATCCCATGCATCATTACTCATTTACTCCTACAATCTTTAATTACAAAATCCACTTCAAAAAGGCCCAAATAAGAATTAGCCAAAAAAGCTTATCCTAACCAATTATCATACTAAAAACCACAGCTCTTATTACCAACATCCCAACAGGAGAAACCCTCAATAATTCTGGCAACCTTAACCGTTTCCTTCCAAACAAAATGGCCAGAAGGATTTAAATATCTAACACTTTAATTATTATTAGAAAGTTTACATCCGCAATCCTTGATTCCAATGTATTTATATATCTAACTCCCATCTTACTTATCCATAAAAAGATGTATTTTATTAATTTTCATAACTTAAAAGTAGTAGTATTTTTTATATGATACGAAATAATTGAGTGACGTCAACGTGTAAAATACATATTAGGCGTTAGAAACATAAATACATAGGAATTGAGTGGTATGCATGTAAATGCCTCTTATTATTAATTGTCGAATTAGTAAATAAAATTATTTATGATCAATTAATTAAATGCTTTTTAAATGTCAGTTATATATATAAATGAATCAACGCAATTATGCCCTCCCATCAAAGTCCCTCTACAAAATCTTTATAATAACAGATTAAAGTGACTTTTCCATACAAGAAATACTAAGGGTCTGTTTGGGTCAACTGCAGCTTATTGAATAATTTGTTGATAAGTTAGGTGTGGTGGCTACTAGAATTTTTTATATTTTTTTGGAAAAAGTTAAATAATTGTCAGAAAGCTGCCACCGCACACCTAGATAAGTGCGGTGTGAAAACACTGCTTTCAGTGTTTTCAAAACGTATAAGCTGTCAAGACACAGTTTATCCAAATAGTCGAGATGTGTTTTCAAAACACCACCGCACCAAATAAGCTGCCCCAAACGAACCCTAAGTGAGCTAAACTAAAAGGGAAGAGCAATGCATTACCTTCTTGATTATAAAATGAAAAAAGAAGAAGAAGAGTGAAATTACAACATGATATTTTTAATGGTTGATTCATGTACATTCCGATGCAAATTTCTCAATTTACAAATCTAACACCTAAAGCAATATAATATATTTATATGCCAAACACTTAAACTCTATCATACCCTCAAAATTTTCAGTGATAATCTTTGACTCCGTTGTGCTTGAAGTACACTTAACGATTCGTTTGAGGATGATGAAGCTTTTTATGAAGATGATTTATAAAATTATGCTGACCTTTTTAAATACTTTTGCCCAATTAGATAAAGTTGAAAGAGGAACAACAACGATAAATAGTTTTGCCCAAGCCACAACCACCTAATTGATATGTATTCATATCAATGTCCACCTACAACCACCAAGAACTACAAAGAACAATAATAATAGTCTAACATCAATGCACAAGCCGCACCAATAATAAATTTTTTTTTTCTTTTTTTTTTATTAGATCTTCATGTAGATCACCCAAATGATGTGTATTCACATCAATGACCATGTCACAACCAATATAGAACCTCACTCAAAAATATCTAACATCAGACTATTGTCATCCCCAAGCCATATACTCAAATTTTTTTTTTTCCGTACAACTTTCCAAACTCAAAATTGAGACACCAAGAATTTAATCTAGCATTCACATCCATACCACCGAACAATATTTACAAGTCTAACGTCGCAAATCCAATGAACAAGCATTCACATATGTTGAAGCAAAAGTGCTCACCGCTGGCGAACAATGGAGAAAGAGGACGAAGAGGAACCAAGTAGTGTGAGAAACACGAGAAAAGAGGAGGAAGAGGAACCAACCAGCGTGAGCAACGTGAGAGAAGAGGAAGAGGAACAAAGGATCGGGAGCAATGTGGGAGAAGAGAAGGAAGAGGAGCAACATATCACACTTCCACTTTGTGTAAAAAGCCAAAGAGGAGCAACAAATGGCAACTTCCACTTTGCATAAAAAGCCAAATGAGGGCGGAATCGAAAAGAGGGGACCGGCATAAAAATCAGAACGAGAAAAGCAGGCCGCAGGGTCGAACCCGTAACCCGTGTCCAAACAATAAAATATTGCAACGTCCCGCTGCGCCACTGCCTTACCGCAACCTTGAATGGGGCCTTAAACCTTGAACCCGAATCCCTTCGCATCAAGTTTGTAATGATTTTCTCCGCATAGTCGTCCCTCACAAACAAAGTTGATGAAATTACTTCTCACATGGCTTCATCCAAAGCATAACTCTCTAACCAATACAATTTTATCTCCATCAACTAATTATAGGGCTACACTGCAAACCTCGCTTTAAGTATGGGATGGAATTATTCCACAACGTTTACCATTCTCTCTTTACCACAATTTTTTGTTTAGCACAATAAGAAAGTTATGGTTATAAGCATGTGCGTCCCAAAAGTTCTGAAAAAATATTTTGTCACTTGAAATCTGAAACTCTTGTTGTTATAGCTTGTTCCTGGTGG